AAGTAGGGTAACTCTGTTCGCAAAGTGCGCTTTTGTGAAGAGGGCGCCACCAAATTTTGAGGACACTTTTTTAATTGGCTCAAAGAGAGAAGTGGCCCATCTTGTTATGTACTATCTTTGATCCCTCTGTTGTTCCTGTTTGTCTGCTTTGCATTTTCCATGCTGAGATTCTGCCAGTGTGCATCTCTTTTAACTTGAAGAATCAAATTGAAAAAGGTTGTACACCCCAGCTTTCGGCTGTCGAGCCTCTCGCAGCTCTGAAAGGGCTATGGTAAAAATGTTTGTGGGTGGTAGGTGGGTGCTCTGGTGTGGTCTGCTCCTTCTTTCCTATTAAACATCTATTGTCCTTATCTCTCCTCCTTTTCAAACAAAATTTTACTCTGTAGTAATACCTCTAACCTTCAGCACATATAAGACAAGAGAGGCACCAACTGTAAGGGCAGCATGAGCCGAATTGTATCGTAAGTGCCGTAAAACTCTCACTGAATGTAAGCTAAATATGTTTCCATTTCAATCAAACGTGTGTGTGTCTAAAGAATGGTACCGAAAGTCAGATTGTGACCATTTAGAGTTAAGGGTTGTACCTTATAGGAAATTCAATGCTCAACAGAGGGGTCTTTGAATTTTTTTAGATATCTCAAGTAGTTTTTGAGATATTGCACATTTTGCAAGGTAGGGTATAAAAATACAATTTTGAGAAAATGAGCTCTAAGTTTAAAAACGCGAGAACACATACAAACTTTTTAAAAAACTATTTTTTAAATGTATTTATTCATGGAAAATTCTTTTCCAATTTGGAATTCAGTTGACATCTATATCATGAATGGAATTCAATGTTAAAACATAGTAGGGAAGAGAAAACATGCTTCAAGAATAGATTTTAACACCTTTAAAAAGCAGTTTTCATTATTTGTTTTTGTTACACCCTACCCTCAAAATAATTCAAAATTAAATATTTAGACTTCAAATAAATGAAAACCCTTTGAGCACATTGTAAAAAGAAAGGTGGATCTATCATTTTTTAATGGAAACACATTTTGTTCAAAAAAGTAATTTTGTCATTATCAGCCTGGAGCTCAAAACGATCTGGGGCGACTTTTGGTACCTTTTTCTAGGCGCACACAGGTATGAGCAAACAAGCAAAGCAAATCTTTTTTTCTGAGTGAGCAGTAAAAATACTACAGGACGGGAGTCCCATTCTGTGTGTTTGTGTTGTCTCCTCTCCAGGCCCGCCTCACCTGTACGGGGAGGGATGCAAGGAACAGTGCCACTGCTCTGACCTGGAGGACTGTGACATCAACGGCCACTGCCCGACTGGTTGTGCGCCGGGATGGTACGGCCTACGCTGCAACAAGAGTGAGTTCTTGATTCAGGCTGATGTGTATCGTCAGTGTTCGACTCTAGTCATATTATATCTGCCTAATTTAGGTCAGACACTTCATTTTCCTCAGATTGTGTTATTCACACCAGTAATTACAATTGATGATACTGTGGTTAGTTATAAGAACACCCTACACAAAACTTTGAGCACCTTTTCGAAGATAATAAGAAAGTAAGAAAGAAATTACATTTTTTAAGGGAAAAAGTATTTGGCCTAAATTGGCGGATACATGATTAACGTCCTGGGGAAGACAAAGAGAGAAAGGCCAGGATCCACATGGGAGCGAGATTTAGAAGCTGTTCTCAGATATCTGGGACAGCTGGCTGGTGGTGGAGAAGATCACTCAGAACAGGTGTAGAGTGCTTCTTGGCATTCTATTCTGCTGTAAGCTGACAAAATGCCTTTTCTCATTTTGGCGCCAACTCTTTTTTATTTGCTAAATCGAAAGCCCGATCAGTTAACCTACTTATGTGGAAAGAATCAAAGTGAAACTTTGGCTAGCTTTTAAAATAAATTAGAATTCAAATTTTGGAAGAACGCTATTTTTGAATGGTAACGCTGACAAAAAACCTGATTTTCTCGAAACTGCTGTGAATAAAACCGGCACCTTTTTGCTTTATGACCTTTTTGTTGCCGTCTAACTATTAACTAAAGCAAAAAACAGCTGTGCCCCATGAAAATGAATGGTGTTTTGCCTTAAAATGTGTGGTTGCGTCATGGAGGCAGAGAAAAGGGTGGTTAGGGCAGGTTGGACAGTACAGAGTTAACTCTTCAGCTCCGTTGGAGGGGGGGTTATTAACCCACTATGCCTGGCCCCTTCTTTGGAACTAAATCTAAATATGTCTAAAATGTCACTAAATTGGTCATCAAGTCAAAACATGTGAACCTATTTTGATAGTTCTTTATCTGATGAATGAACTCGGGATAATAATAGAGACCTGTTTTCGCCAATTGCCGAAGAGTAATTTGATGTCGAAGTCATTGTCAAGGAATGTGCTCAAGCCGATGTCAGCGGCTCACGGGTACAGGGGTTCTGACCGCAAGCAACTGGGAGCGGCTTGCCGAAGTTTAAGAGTTAAAGTGCTCATTCTGTCTTTAGAATATGCCTCAATTTCGAATTCTTGTCTGTTTGATTTTTAGCTCGGATTACGTTTATTATTACTGTGCTAGAAAAATGCCAGTCATCAGACTTTTTTTTTTCCTTAACAAATGAGAGGCAAACACCGGACCTCAAGACCATGAGAGAGAGCCCCCCCCCCCGAATGTGCTCCTTTTCTAAAATTATATGTAAACTTTGTTCTTATAAAATTCCCCCGCCCCTTCCCTCTTTCTGTCTTATATAATTTACCATTGATCGATTCTTTTGACTCAGAGTGCGAACGTGGGCTTTTCGGACTGAGATGCCAGTCAAAATGCAGCGACAAATGCCTGTACAACAACTGTGATGCGGAGACTGGAAAGTGTGTGGATGGCTGTGTCGAGGGCTTCCAGGGAGAGAACTGCACTATAGGTACAGAGAGTTTTGTTATTGTTATGCTTGTTTGTTTTTGTTTGTTTTTTGTTGTTGTCTTGATGAGAAGTTGTTCTAGCTTGGCATCTGTTTTGTGGGTGGTTGGTGGATGCTCTGGTGTGGTTTGCTCCTTCTTTCATATCAAACATCTATCGCCCTTATCTCTCCTCCTTCTTCTTTTATGTTTGTTACTCTCCTGTAACACCTCTAATCTTTGGCAATTATATAGCCTAATTGTTTTGCAAGTACCGTAAAACTCATACTAAATGGTATCTGTTTGCTAGGTCTAAGTCAGTACTTGTCTAGTCTGGAACCAAATATAACGGGCTGGGACATTTCAGGAATATGTGGTCCATAGTCTCGTCCTGAGTGTGGAGATGGAATCGTCAGCAGTAAGGATGTGTTGTGTCCATTTTGTGCTGGTGTCAGTAGTGGAATGGTTAAGCTCTTCAATGCAGCACTCGGAAGAAGTGAGTTCAATTCCTGCTTGGTGGGGGGTGGGGGGGTAAACATTTACAATGAGTTACAGTCAGTGAGACAGTTTAGAGAGGTATGTTGTTTAGTGGTAAACGGGGAGTGGGGGTGTGTGTGTGTGTGTGTAAATATATTTATAATCCAGTTACAATCGATGAGAGTGTGAGCGCTGTGTTGTGTAGTATCTCTTCCAGAATGAAGAGGTTGAGTACCTGAGGGGGTGGGGG